AATTCAGTCTGGACCAATAGGACGCCAGCTGAGGGCAAAGGAGTGACAGCAGCAAAGACAAACTCCACAAAGACAGGCAAAGGAGGACAGGTCAGAGGTCGTCAGAGGTTAAGGTGCCCGTCCACACCTGTCCATCTCCTCCTGTTCCAGTACGGCTCCTGCAGCTCCACGTAGAAGCTGGCATTCTTATCATACTCCTCGTGATCGATTATTTTAATGGCTATGATCTTCCTGTGGGGGGAGGGGGGTCAGAGGTCAAGGGTCATGCATTAGTTCACACACACAGACACCTTGTCTGCCTGCTGGGATACAAAAACATGATTAGCTCAGATTATTAAAGCTCAACTCAAACTTTCCCACACTCGTTATGACATTAAACACCACATCAACAGGGCTGACTGAGGTCAAAGGTTATCAGTGATATGGGAGGGGTCAGGGTACAGGAAGGCCACACCCCCCCACCTTTCCTCTCACTCATCTCCAGCAGCCGAGGCTCTCCGATCTCCAGGAAGAAGTTCTTGTTCTTCTCGTACTCTTCGTCATCGATTATATTTATCCGAATGGTTTTGCTGAAACAGAGAAAAGCCGGAAAGAGAGTTTGCAGAAGGAGAAGCGTGCAGAAGCCCGAGACACGACAAAGGAGAAACACGGCGGGCAGAGGGAGACGCCGCCCACATTTACACACACGCCGCGTGACCTCGTGTTTCTGTTCGCCGCTTCGTACGAACTTTATGTGCAGCTCTCTGAGCTCCAACCCTAAACCACCCCAGCACATATTTAATATTTATGACTCCAGGAAGTCAAATCGAGTTGTTCAGGTGAGGCAGCATCAGGAGTGTGAGGACGCACAGAAGAGAGCCGGTCAGTTCATGTGAAACACAGAGACGACGAGAGGACGGCGAGGAGATCTCAGGATGACACAGTTTGTTTGTTCGGAGCTGGAGGCGGAGCTGGAGGCGGAGCTGGAGGCTACAGCAGGCCGTGTGTGTGTGTGTGTGTGTGTGCGTGTGTGTGTCTGTGTGTGTGTGTGGATGGAAACTGAAGATGGCCTGCATCCACTCACATGTTTATTTAATGTGAGCAGATTGATGCTCTGGGGCTTTCTCAGTGATCCAAGGACGGTTTGTTTGGTGTCACAGATTCAGGAAACTTTCAGCTCTGTGGATGTTTCAGTTTTATTCATCCAAAGAATCTGTGAATAAAATAAAAGTAATAAAAGAACCAAAGAACTCAGACAAAAGAGTCTCCTGCACAAACAGACGGTTGTTTGGGATCAGCGAGGATGACTTTGATCTCACTTTGTGCTGATTCATTATTATTTAACTTCATCTTTAAAGAACCTGATGATGCAGAATTACTGCTGTCATTTTAATACTCGTCTGTTTGTTTCCACCTCGAGTATATTTAGTGCTGGTTACAGATCATGTTACCATGGAAGGAGTGCCCAGGTGGGTAAATCTCACAGCACCAGAGGAGCACCTTGTGTTCCCCTGTAGCAGGAACAGGTGGACAGGAAATACAGGACAAACGTGGACGCTGCAGGTGTTTCTGCACTAACTGAACCCGCCCGGCCGAGACGCAGCAGTTTCTCCACCAGAGACTCTGCCGTGAAGCTACAACCACACTCACAGCTTTGCCTTAAACCAAAGACTGCGCAGAGACTCG